CCTGACCAATATGGTGAAACCCCATCTCTACTAAAAATACAAAAACTGAGCATGGTGGCGCGTGCCTGTAATCCCAGCTACTCGGGAGGCTGAGATAGGAGAATTGCTTGAACCCAGGAGGCGAAGGTTGCAGTGAGCCGAGATCGCGCCACTGCACTCCGGCCTGGGCGGCAGAGCGAGACTCCGTCTCAAAAATAATAATAACAATAACAATAATAATAATAAAAATAGCAAGAAAGCAAGGCACGGCTGGGCCCCCAGTGCCGGGATGGGAGGAGCTGGTCCTGCTCCCGGGAAGGAACCTGAGCCTCTCTCTGCTGCCCCCTGCAGGCCAGTTTGGCGCCGGCACCGAGTCCTACTTCTCCCTGCTGCGCTTCCTGCTCCTCCTCAACGTGCTGGCCTCCGTGCTTATGGCCTGCATGACGCTGCTGCCCACCTGGCTGGGAGGCGCTCCCCCAGGCCCTCCCGGCTCCAACACCTCCTCCCCCTGCGGCTCCTATAACCCCCACCCCCAGGGCCTGGTCACCTTTGCCACCCAGCTCTTCAACTTGCTCTCAGGAGAAGTAGGTGCCTGGGGCCCTGGGAGTTTCCCCTGCCCACCTGTGAGCCCAGTGCCTTCAATGACACGAACCTCAAACCCTGACCCCAGACCCTGACTGTGCAGCTCCAGGAGCCCCGCCTCCTCCCACAGTGGCCCCTGCGCCGCCTTCCCCCCCACAGGGTTACCTGGAATGGTCCCCTCTCTTCTATGGCTTCTACCCGCCCCGCCCACGCCTGGCGGTCACCTACCTGTGCTGGGCCTTTGCCGTTGGCCTCATCTGCCTCTTGCTCATCCTGCATCGGTCAGTGGCACCTGCACCCCTGACCCCGTGACCGGACGGGTTGGGGTAGGGAAGCAAGTGGTGGTGGCAGAAACTCCCTCCCCAAGAATCCTCAGTCTTGCTGTGTAACCCTTTCTTCTGTGTGAGTTCAAATCAAGGTTTTGTGCTGGGCACGGTGGCTCACGCCTGTAATCCCAGCACTTTGGGAGACCAAGGCCGGCGGATCACGAGGTCAGGAGATCGAGACCATCCTGGCTAACATGGTGAAACCCCGTCTCTAATAAAAATACAAAAAATTAGCCGGGTGTGGTGGCCGGCGCCTGTAGTCCCGGCTACTCCGGAGGCTGAGCCAGGAGAATGGTTTGAACCCAGGAGGCAGAGCTTGCAGTGAGCTGAGATCAGGCCACTGCACTCCAGCCTGGGCGACAGAGCAAAACTCTGTCTCGAAA